TGGAGGCTGCAGTGTTGGTAGAGCGAACGGTGGTAATAGCGGTGGTACCGGAGCGACACGGTGAGCTCAAACGTGCATCGATGGACGGACGGTGAATAAAAGAGGACGAAGAAGAGGAATTCGATGTAGAGGATATGGAAGACTGAAGTGGTGAGTAGAATGAGGAGGCTGACCCCGATGACGCGTGACCAGGACCGAGTGGAGGTAAGTCAGAAGTTGCAGCAGCAATCGCCTCCCGTGATTGTGAATTCGAGGAAGGTGATGATGACTGGCAAATAACAAAGGACATTTGTAATACTGTTGAAAAGAATAGTGGTTATAACTGTGGTGCTTGCGCTCAATCTGTTTGAGTCGCTGTCAAAGAAAAACAGACCATGGCATCAAACTTCATGAGTTTTTGAGTGTACAGATGAACATTTTTACTCCAGATAAGGCGGTGACCAAGTGTTGTTAGTCATGACTGCCAGCACATCGGTCATAGTATAAATCCCGTATTACCAATTAATACACTCTGAAAATGTTGACTCAAATCTTTCGAAGGCACGCTGAAATAGAACAACACACATTACAGATACAGAAAACGCCCTAGCGCAGTTTATCTCGGGCAGTCTTGAGCGACATCAGTAAAACCCTTGGCATTCGGGGGATTTAGCAGTTGCTGATATCCGAAGAAACACGGAAATCGTTTCTTGCGGATATGACAGTATATTTTGATGCATTGAATCCAATGTCCTTCTCATGTGACCAGCGTTAGATACACTAATCATCAGCCATTATGAATGTGATCCGAGCAAGTATAACCCATTAATTCCGGTAAGACGTAGCGTGAACTGATTGGCACAGTGGCAATACACCTTCCATCCGTTGGATCCGGGGTCCAAAACCAGGATGACACAACGGACATTCACCATTGACGCACTCTCGTGGGAGAGAAACTCGAATTTGCTGTTTCCTCCATGCATGGTTACTAGATCAAATGAATATTTTGTATGAACATGAAGTCTAAACACTGATCAGTCCCAGTAAAAAATTACGTATATTGTCAGAAAGTAGGTGCAAATTGTAACGTATCATCTGGATAAATCACCTAACGTTTTGTCCATCGCGTCTCCACCCATCCATACAACCGGGCTAAACACGAATACGAATATATGTTTGACAGATGGATCGAAAATAGGATAAACGGGCCGTGGTGCTGCAACAAGTAAGCGGCAATGACCCACAGAAACACAAGAATAGCACCAATGCATAGGACAGACATTAGGCGATGAGTTGTTTAATTTATTTATCGATCGAGAGGAATCCGAAATAATCGGTATCGCGGAATTGTTTGAGTTCTGTGGAAATGAGAACGGAGCGAAAAGAGAGACTACCAATCATGTCATTCACCTCGTAAACCATTGGGAGGCAGACTGAGACTAGTGCCACGCGGTATGAAACAGTTTCGGGACAAGAGTCTACCTGGTTGAGTCAAAAGTATGCAGTAAGCACACGAGCACATGTAGGAACGCTATATATATATATGTTTGTTGCGGTTAGTAGCATCTAACCCACTTACAAAACATCGAATCAAAGCACTGATTCTTCATTGGACTGACTCTGAAAGAGCAGTCTATCCAATGGTCACCCGGCGTTGCAAACAAGGTTATTGTGACGAAAATACACCTCCTGGGTGCAAGTATATGAATAAACTGACAACAGATTACCGGATACCCGACGAGCGGCAAAAACCGCGAAACCGGTCGTGTGCTTCCAGGGAAATTTTGTCCAGTCATTCACATACTACTTACTATCAAATATATATGTGTAGAATTGGATCCAAGGCCGTGACACCGGCACAGAAAGCAACTCCATGGGATCGAACTTTTTGAGCAAATGCTTTAGCAACCGGAGGAGAAAGGGTCAAGTGCAGAGAACACAAATGAAACGAAGTAAGACGAATTTGTCCATCAGTATCCCCGACTGACATACATTGTCCGGTCGCTCATGTATATAAGCTGATGTGGAACAGAATTCACACGAATTTTAGTCGATCTGGAAGAAAGGAGTCAAAATCCTTAATCAAAAGAACTTAAATCCTAAATTGTCTATTTGTTTAGATTCCTTCCCAAGGATAAAATCAGTAACGGTGGCCAGCATACACAGCACACAGTCTGGCCTCAGACGGGTGTGAAATATAATCATAATAATAATAATAATATACAGCACAACACATGTATGTATTTGATGTAACAGAACTGGTCACTGATCAACTAACCCGAGTGCGTCTGGTGTTCTCTCGTAAGCCGGTAAGTATACGTTGTCGACAATTTGAGCTGATATCATCGAGCACCTGTGGTAGTGCGTTGATTGGGCCGATCATACTAGAAAAAAGTACACAACTGAAGTATTAAAACACAAGCCCAGGGAAGATGATGGACGAGTACACTGATAAAACAAGTATAAAAACCTCAATGCAGAAAATGATGAATTGGCAAACAGAAATAAGAGAACATTTTCAAACCAGTCGTGTCATATACTTGTATATATGGTCACGTTCAAAATTCATACCGGTGTGCACAGACTGATAGGAAATTGTCAACTCTGTACATCTTCACAACATTGTGTCTGGAAAGACAACCGGAACAAAAATGTTGAGGTTGCACTAGAGGTCGAGCACGCACGCACGCACGCACACACACACGTGTTTTGTATGGTTTTTCGAAAGGCAATAGTTGCCAGGTTAAATATAATGGTCAGATTGAGGATTAAATCAATCGGTCTGGTGAAAAGGTACGAAAATCCTGACCAAAGCACAGGGTCGGCTACAGTGCGTCAGATATCTCGCTTTCGACTGAAAGGACCTACCTAACCTTAGACTGGAGACACAAAGATTAACGGCTAGGTATTGTGCACTGTGAACTGTGCACTTATTGATCTGGATTATTCACTTCATTCAGCGCTGACGCCATTTCGTACCTGAATTTCATTTTGTATAAGACATTTAATTCAATTTGACTATGTGAAACGCTGCAAGTAAAAAGCAAAACTACAACAATTTTCTGCAACCTAAGGATTGTCTACCAAGTAATTTACATCTTGAGAAGAGTTTGGTGCAGCTGCTCTTGAATCTAAAGAGAATCTAAAGACTGTCTTGAAAACTTGAAAGAGATAAACAAAGAATAACGACAACCCTGAATAAGGTCATTTGTATGATTCATCATGCAAGGTGTTTATATTTTTTGCAGTACCTGAATATGATGAGCAATGGAACGAATGGAATCCAGAATCACAACCTTATAGTGTGCGGTAATGGAAACCAGTAATTCAAACCTGAAAATTTGGAGTAGTGTGTAAGTTATACCTTTCGACTCGGAAGAAAATGAAGACTGGTCTTCTAGGGGGTACAGTAAGTGGCAACTCTTAACATGCTATACTGATCAATGCATCAGCATCAAGGCATCAGCTTTCATAAGCGCCTCCTGACACCCAGTCGACCTTTTCCTTTGTACGAATTCTTTTGGCTCAATCAACCAGACCAGAGTAAAGTCAAACCCAATCTTCGATGCAATAAAACAACCAAATACAAGTATTAGTTAGACCATGTGTATCTCTTAGAAGATTTAAAGAAGAGCTCGTCTTATCAGTGTTTTGTGATGGCTGGACTGTTATTTACGTACAGTTTACACAGTTCCGTTTAATCGACAATACTTTCTTCAAGGTGCGACAAAAATGACTAACCGAAAATAGCCCGGAATGGATACCATTGCTTTTTCTGTAAATCCAATTATCAAAAAAATTGCAATTTGTTGAAGCGGATGATATAAGACAGTTGCGGGCCACAGACCCTGTTCATCTCAGCACTAGCCTCCGGATTATGACTCAAATCCTCCATTACTCTCTTGAAACAAGTATTCAGGTTGTAAATGTTTCCAATCGAGTCGCAACAAGCTCACAAAAATAGGTTGTGCTATATCGTGTAAATGGAAAATGAAAAAAAAACGGTTTGCCTAGTGGCCGAGTGGGAAGCATGCTTCCGTTCTGCCCATGAGGCCCCGGGTTCGATCCCCAGTTGGGTCGATGGATTCGCACTGCTGATGAGACCCAACCAGGTCGAAACAGCTGTTCAGTGCTTCCGAGCTTTTCAGTTCACGCTTCATTTTCTCATATACACGCGAATTCGCTTTTGAAATTTAATCGAATCCTCCATTACTCACTTTTCCTCTAATGACCCTTTTCTGGGTAATAACCGATTTTGTTTACTTCTGCTTGTGTGCTGATACCGGGAAAGCTTTTAATTAAAGAATGTGACTTTTGCAGTAAAGCATCCGTTGAGAAGTGTAATTGTCTAGGGCACAAAACCTGTGCTGCTATATGGGTTTTCCCCTTGAAATTTCACGAGCAAAATCACATAATATTGCCTTCAGTAATAAGTTCTTCATTCCTTTGTCCATTTTGAAGAGGTCCGTTGGATGCACTTACAATATCAACATTTTGCTAAAACGTTATTCGGACAGTTTGGGAGTGCATTCGGTTATCGGATTGTTGGGACCCATTGTAATTGACTTGATCGCCCACAAGTGATGACTAAAAGTTTATTTAAAGCGTGTAAATCGCCTTGTTCTTTGGTTATGTTATGAGTTCATTGCCGATAGCACAAGAAGTGGATGATTTCCAGAAGCAATGCTGTCTCATGAAGAGTGTCACTTTCGTCCAGCGGCACTGTCGATCATTCCGTGTTTAGCAGAAGTGAAACTTCGTAACCTACATATCACGTCCATCTTATTGTGACTCTAAGTAGTCCACTAATTAAGGTCCCGCGGTTTAGGTTGTCGGTTTCCGTAATCGAACAGCAGATCAACCTGACTTTGGCATTCACTCCTTTTGCTGTTCACCACACTAATGTGGGTAATAAAAAGTACTCCGTACGAGGCTGATTACCCTTACAGAGGTAGGGGTTACATATGCTTAGTAGAAAAGACAGTGGGTATGGACCAAAATCCGGCAGAAAATGACGTACCTGAGACGATCGGTTGTACATAATGATGACGAATTCCGGTTAGCAAGCAATCCATGCGCATCTGACTCTGACTCATGATGCGCTTGGTCGGTTCTCCCTAGTGGTCCTGAATCTGGTCGCGAAAACTGCAATGGCAGCTGCCGTAAAGAATACATTTCGTGATCGCTTCCGTCTCCATCAAGCATATATGGAACAGAACGACTACACAAGTCTAACTCGATGAAGTCATCTGCATTGGAACTCGGATCAGCTGCAGTTCCAGCAGCTTGGTCTACGTTTGGCAGTGCCATAAGCGCAGAGCGGGGATGGAACTGAGATAACGAACTACCTCCAAAAATGTTTGGTTGTATGTACCGACTCGTGAGAGAAAAAGTGTGGTTTGTGAATCGATCTGAGGAAGCCCCTGTGGAATACGGTTGATGAAGTGCATCTTCCAGAGAGTGGATAGCTAAACCAGGAGTAAATGGATCTCCCAAGGTGTTGGCAGGTTCAGACGGTGTTGGGTTGCGAAGGGAACTAGATCTGAAATCAGTAGACCCTGTAGGGAAAAAAGAACGAAAATGATTATCTTAACCCGAAACCAAGGACTGGATAAAAAACGGGAATGACTATGTAGTTTAACAAACGTCGCTGAATAGATTCTTGACGCACAGACACTATACATAATGTATATCCTTATCGTATATATATATATATATATATATAAATTTAGTGGAAAAGGCAGTCTGGGCCTTGAAACTTAGAATGGTGGGTCCCGTTAGGTGACAGTGGGATATTCCATGGAACAATCGCCACGTGAAGATAAGAAACAATCAGTGTAACACACTCGCCAAAGTTGGAGTCGTAAAATTCTCAGTTATCTTCTCGTCCAAACTAGAGGAATACAAACTAAAATAGGAGTTTGTTGTTCCCGCACCNCGCACCAACGCTATGATCAAGGGGAATCCAACAGAGCAGCTTTCAAACCAATTAATGGAATACCGAGGGGGACAGGATAATAAAATAGACTGCGCTTGTGCGGTGGTTCCCTAAATGGTTATGCGATCTAATGATAAATCCTGTTTAGAAAATGAAGGTTAACAGTGGAAAGTACTCCATGAATTATATCAATAACAATAAGTTTCAGACAGTTTCCGAACCCGAAAAGTCTAACGTGTATTAGTTGGGCACAAAACAAAGGTGTCACCACTACATTGTTGTTGACTAAAGCCCAATACAGAACAGGTAATGCCAACAGATCCTTAAAGTGGACAAATGCTTTGGAAAATCCACTAAAGCTAAAATGAAAAAGAGAACAGTACATGTAAACCAGCACTCACTTCGTGGCCAGATGAACACATTTTCGTCTGACCCGGACGGCCGTGAAGCGAATGCAGGTTGTAAAACAGCACTAATCTGGTCGGTATGTCCGAGGGAATTGGTGTCAACAAATTCAATCTGCATCATATAAATCGTCTCAAGCAACCCTTCGCGATTCGGATCTGAAAAGTGATCAGTTGTAGTTGTATTTTGTGCTGGGACAGAAACCATGGGAAAAAGGTGAGTAAATTTGTGCTAGTTGTGAAGAACACGCATTATCGGGACGTTTAGGAGGAGTTTGATCTAACAGTGAATCGTCAACATAAACGCAAATTGGAATCTAAAAAATATAATTGTCTGGTCACTATTAAAAACTAAATATATAGAAAGTAAGCGTCAAAATGCAAGATACGCTTGGCGTGAATATGCTTCATGAAGCGAAGCGAAACAAACCCTAAACAATGGCAGAAGATTCTCAGAGAGCACATTTTAAACAAAAACAATGGCGAAGAAGTTCATTCACATTCATCACTAATTACGCAAATGCAGTATCATATATAAATATAAATATATATACATACTACATATTATGAAATATTCTACCAGGACCATCAGGTCACGTTTGTTGCGGTTAGTAGCATCTAACCCACTTACAAAACCTCGAATCATAGCATTGATTCTTCATTGGACTGGTTCTGAAAGAGCTGTCCATCCAATGATCACCCGGCGTTGCAAACTTTAGTGAAACGTGGCGTTTACGCCAAAGTTGTTCAATCCTGCATATGCATATATATATATATATATATATATATATATATATATGTACATATATGAAACGGGCTTGTAGACAGGCATTGTGCCAACGCCACAACAATAATAACCATATAAAAAATGGGGGGGCAGGTGAATTGCGATACAGAACAAAGTGGAAAGATGGAGGAACAGTTAAACACGGGAAAATGGTAC